CAGGCTAAAGGCAGTCTGAAAGGGAAGCTAAAGCCTGGTGCAGGTGGAAGCCAGATGGGGCTGGGGGGCCTAGCACCCAAGGAGGGTGGATCCCTGTGCACTCAAAGGACAGAGATGGGGCCAGGGGTCCAACACCAAGAAAGGTGTAGCCAGGGCTGAGGGGCCCTGCAAACAGAAGGGCAGAGGCTAGAGCCTAGGGCCCAGCAGTTTAGGGAAAGGCAGAGGTGGGACCAGGGGCCCAGTAGCCCAGAGGCGTGGAGACAGGGCTGGAGTCCAGTGCAGTGGATCGGAGTCTAAGCAGCCCAGCAAGAGTGATGGGATGGAGGACAAATGGGCTGAGACCCCAACAAGGGAAACTGATTGGACAGGTAATATCTCTGAGACCTGGGAGTGGCTAAAAGGGGAGGTGAGGAGGCCACAAAATTGCCCTTAAAGCAGTGAGCAACCCTAGCTCCTGAGCAGATGAGATTTCACTTGGGGATCTCTGGGGCAGCCTCCCTCTTACAAGTATGTATTTACAACAAGGCCTGGGGTAGAAGGGGAGGATGCTCAAAGGACAGGGTGAGGCAGGGGTTGAATGGCCACCCACGGGTGTCACGGCCACACCTGGGGCCACCTTCTGTTACACAGGCATTAACTGTACTTAAAAAAATAAATAAATAAAATAATGCAGGCAGTCTCAGTGGGATTGTTGGGGAGGCGAAGACTTGTAGCTGTTTACTAGATGTCATAAGCTTATTGCACAATTACTAAGAGAGCAGAGAAAGTCTTGCTTCAGGAATTTGCGAAGTCCGTCACCAGAAGTCTTTTCTGTGTAAAACACAGCTAAAGCAATCAAATTATAGATTTTATGAGAAATGCACTGACTTTGCTAAGTGAAACTATAAATCTCGTGGTGCTGTGAAATTCCTTTAGTTGATATGTTAAGGTAGTGATATTTTGTTGTACCTGGAATGCTTGTTGACACCCATCCCCTAAACAACATTTTGAAAGTTGTGTGAATAAAAGAATTAAGAGCCAGGTTGCCAAAGCTGGCTGTGACAATTATGTTGGTAAAAATACACCTGTGCCCACTGGCCATTTATTAGTACATACTGGCTGAAGGCAGAGACATGATCTCTGAATGCAGAATTGTGGTACTTTGAAGATGCAACAAGGACCCTACCTGAGTTCACTCTGGCTTTGAGAATCGGGCCTCTAGAATACCCGTGCTCCTTGAATTGCTCCCATATCTCTACTGTGGTGACAGTTGCTTTGAAGCTGATTGCCACAAACCTTTATTCAGATGCATGGGGGGTTAAGAGGGAGTGTTGTTCCCTTTGATTTCCTTACTGGGCCCTGCTCAAATTATGACTCCAGCTGTTCTAACTCTTCCCTTCTTTCTACTTTCATAGTAGCTGAGGAGGAGAGAAACTTCTTTAAGACCATGGGTGAAATCACTTCCACTTTTTTTCAGGCCAAGGAGGACACAAGCAGGGAATCGACTGATTTCAGTCTCTTCCTGGGACTACGCAGACGTACATCACCCTGAAGTCGGGGTAGACATTAGGCCTGTGCGAGTCGGCAGCGATCCAATCTGGCTTTGGATCTGGCCACATCAGATGGATGTGATCCAATCCAGAGATCCGGACCGGGTTTCTGCCTTAATCCGGCCCAAACTTTGGAGCCGCCTTGGAGACCCGGCCATAGGATATAATGGGGAATCAATGAAATATCTATAACTTGGTTGATTTTTTTTGTCTGATTTGGATGAAACTTGCAGGGATGGTAGCCTCTGCTGAGAGCATGAAACCTGCCAAGTTTCAAGTTTTGGTGCAGGGGCTTGGGGGGATCTGTACCCCAAATTCTTGAAAGCCAAACTTGTGTCACACCACAGGGGAGTCAAAACAGCAGGGCTGGTAGCTCTTACTGAGGCCACAAAGCCTGCCATGTTTCAAGGAGGTCGGTGCAGGGGTTTGGGGGGGAACTACACCCCAAGCTGAGGACAAGCAAAACTCGTGCCATGGGTGACACTGCGTGTGTTCAGGCGCAGCAGGGTGACAGCTGCAGGGATGGTGGCCCCTGCTGTGACGCCTGCCAGCTGTGGAGGAGATCGGTGCAGGGGGGTCTGGGGCCCTGCACGCCTAGCTGCTGACAGGCAAAACTTGCACCAAGACTGGCTGTCTTGGGGCAGTTGATTGTCTGTATTGAGTCTTTCCTCTCCTTAGCCTGGTTTTGTAGGTGCTGATTGATGCTCTTTAAGTCATTATGTAGTAGCTAGGTCCTGTGTATTGAGCTCGTTCCTGAGTGAATCATGATTGATTGGTAACTGGTAACACAGCAGCTCAGCAGCCCGGCCTGCAGCAGTGTCTCGCACACCCCCAAGACAGAGACAGTCAGTCCCACAAGCACCCATGGCACGAGTTTTGCTTGTCCGCAGCTTGAAGGGCAGTTTCCCCCAAACCCCTGCACCAAACTTCTTGAAACTTGGTTTCATCCTCTCTGCAGAGTCTACCACCCCCGAAAACTTCATCCAAACTGGACAAAAAACAACAAAGTTTATCAATATTTTATTGTTTCCCCACTATACCCTATGGCTGGATCTCCGAGGCAGCTCCAAACCACTTCGGAAGGTGTGAAGCACTTCGGGAAGCCTAACAAGGCCAGCACTTTGACCCGGATGTGCTGCTTCGGACCCCAAAGTGACCAAAGCTTCTCCGGATCTAAGGCTCTGTCCAAAGCCTCGCACAGCCCTAGTAGCTATTAGAGTTACCACCTAGCCCTTGATAACATAATTGATACTTCAGAGAGTAGAAGCCAGGCAGATGAATTGTGGAGATCAGGGGAAAACTAGAACTGCTTTATTTTGAATGGACAACAAGAAAAGTCTGGTGTTAAAGCTGTTTATTGTACTATTGAGATACATTCTTGACAGTTTGCATTAGTTTTTATTTTTTTGAGTGCAATAGTAGGAATAACCATTTCAACTGAAGAAATAGTGTAGCAGAGGCACTTGTTACATGCAAATTAAATGACTATTTGTGCCTGGTGCTGAAGCCCTGACTAATGAACTTCCATCAACTTTGGGGAAAGTCCTGCAGCCCCCCCGGTCAGCAGAATCAGAATGACGTGTGCATTCGGGAATAGCACACTCTGGGGGAGAACTGCCAAGCTCCAGCTGAGACTGCAGGTGGGATGCTTTGCTTTCAGCACAGAACTTAGCATTGCCTTGGAGCTCCATCAGTAACGACACGCTGGCTTGTGCAATTCTGGTGGGGGGGTGGGTAAATTAGAGTACATTTGCATACTCTATAAAAATGCAATAGACTTAAGTTGACATGAACGTCAGGTGGAAACATCGGAGATGAACACGCAGGTTCTTATGGAAATCTTAACAAGTATGAGGAACTCTCCTTTTTCTGACAGAAGTATGAATCGGGTAGGTTACAGCTGGAGAATAAGTGCATTATTATTACAAAATAGAGCTCTTGAGGCAGCATCCCACTTGGTGTCCCCAAGAAGCAGTCGTAAGGTAGCCTATACAGCCAAATGAATACAGCAAAGAAAGTGTTTGCCATTATCCTTGCAAATAAACACTGCTAATCTATTTCCCTTGTATTCTTGACCCCTTTTTCTTTATCTCAAATCTTAGTCCTGGGAGAGCCTGAGTGCTGCAACCCCAATTCAGCAAATCGTTTAAGCATCTGCTTGTATGCAGCAAAGTACTGTGGCGTTGAGCATGTGAGCCTGTACTAGCTGAATTATTCATGGGGAAATACTTTGTGCAAAGTTACCCTTGTTTCCGTTGGCTGTTTAGCCACAAGTTGGTTCTGGATTTTTACAAGTGGGAATGCTCCTCATCATAGTTTGGGCAAATAAATTTTAGTTTAACTTGTTCACCATCAGTGTATATTTATACCATTTGAGTTGTCATGTGGTATGTTTTCTGTTTCCTGATTGGCTAGCCCATGTTTTAGGCAGAAAGACATTCACCAGGATTTTTTTGTATGGGAAGGGAAAATGTGCAAATAATTGCATCATAAATTTATGATTTTTTTTTTTTCTTCAAGGTGCTTAACTTCTCTGAGGTAGAATGCATCTTGTGAGTCGTTGCAACTGCTATGCTAAAATTCTTCCTTACTAAACAGTAAGCAAATAAAATTTCCTCTTGCCTAGTTCTGAATGACAAACCTGGGATGCCTCTTGTGTATTGCCTTTCCTTCTTTATTCTTGTGCAATCCAGCTGGATCACCACAAGGCCAGCACTTAACATTTGCAAATAAAATGTGGGAATAATGGTATAATGGATCATTTGAAGATCAAGACAAGTGCGCTGTACTCTAATATTCTTTAATTGTGATTCCTGGAACTAAAACTAGAATACTGCGGTGAGAACAGAACCAGCTTAGCCAAAACTGATCCCCAGATCTCTGCTCTGCTGTATATGTCCTTCTTAGGGCTTGCTTGCATTCACTGGCATGCCAGGGCCAAAAACCAATGGGAGACATTGACTTTGAGCCACTGTAAGGGCTTGTATTTTCAGAGCCTTAAGAATTGCACAGTAATAACAACTGATGAAGATGTTTAAAGCAGCCCATTGTCAAAGAAAGATCAAAAGCCCTAGTGACTTTTTCAGTTTTTACTGAAAAAGGGATTATACCGATTCATGGGGAACAATACAAATAATATCATTCAAGGAAAAAATGTGCCAAGCTGAGAATTTTATTAGAAAAGGCATCAAGGGAGCCTTGTTGCCTCAAAGGGCTTTGTGTTACTTGAGTTACAATCGGCATCTTTCCCATTTTAAAGCATGGAGGTCTCTATGCAGGAAGCAGCTGTACTGTCAAGCAGCAGCACACACATCCCCAGCTGATATGTGTGAGATGTGGTAACCAGCGTGCTGTCAGAGGTATTTGCATCACCCTGTGTATGTTGGAACGGCTGTTTAGTACGCGTCCATCATGGAACAAGAAGGCCTCCACGGTTGTGCTGTGGTGTGAAAGCTTTCAGCAGTGTCCCTTTCAGTCATCCAGGTGCTGCTCCTCCCATGTGGAGGTCGGGATGGCACTGTAAGGGTCCATAATGACTTTTGCACAGCGGATAATCATCACAATCAGGAAGAGGCAGAGGAAGACAAAACATGCTAGTGTCAGTCCTTTGTCCACATCAACATATACAGGCTCTGGTGTTGGTCCTTCCATTTTTCATACCTCTCCCCCTCTGGGTGTATGTTGACTGCTACCATGATCATGCACCTGCAAAACAATAATGCTGTCAAACATTAAGAAAGTTGATGTGTATTGCTGATATGGGGGGAGGGATGTCTTCCATTGAAGAGAATTTTGCTCTTGTGGGGTAAAACTGCTGGAAATGTTGTGGGCAGACAGCTAGCAGGACTGAAAACAGAACCCTGTCTAGACCTTCTCTTTAATTTAGTCCATTAGTATTTATAAGCCTCTCTCTAGGTAACAGATACAGCTGTTTTCCCTTTTTTAAAGGGAAGATGGTATTAAGAGAGAGAATCCACCTGAAACCTAGTCCCTAGTTTTGTTTAAAAAAAGAATTCCAAATGTCCCTACATTTTATTATTTAAAAAATAGTGGTAGTCTTTCTTGATTGGTTAAAGACCCAGTAAAAGAGCAGCAATATCTAAAGTGCTGTCAAATGAACAAAGCAAAATGAAAAATGTGTTTTTAAAAATATTTTGCCTATAGTTTTGTTCAGTTGTAGTGATCGTAAGTGCTACTGGCACTAATAGGAGCAGTGTCACAAAGCTGAAGGGTTATCACTTTACAGAGATGCAGAAGACAGTGTATGTAATAGCATAGGGTTTTATTTTGTTTGAACAAGGGGGGCAGCACTGTGCCCTGAGGCTCTCATCTTACCATGTCATCTGATTCCAGGAATAAACCAGACTCAAGCAGAGATCTTTGCTGTCCAGTTGAGTAACTTATAAGTGTGCTAGGCCATAATGTAATTAATACTAGGAAGGGAACTGACCTGACTTCCATAATAAGTCATTGCCCCAGAATAGGGGGGGCGGGAGGGGGGAACTTTTCTTGACCTCCACCCCAGTCAGGCTGGGAAGTGAAGACAGCAAAGGCTTCTTACTGTAAAAGAACCAGAATGTTGTCAGTCTGAACTTCAACACAAGTTTATGCAGGTGTGTTCAGAGCAGTTCTTCACTTGGGTCGAGTGAGAATACTGCTGTTGGGGATGTGGGTGCCTGGAGAGGTGGAGATTGAACAGCCTCAGGAAGGTACCATGTTATCTGTGCAGTGATGTGGCTACTGGGATGTGGCCCTTTGGTTGCTGTATTCCAGAATCCACTGGAAAATTGTTTGAAGGGTTGTAGGATGTCTGGGCCTCTTTTACCCAGCATAAACCCACACTGTTCTTGGGTCATGCAGACTTCTCATCATGGACCAATTCAGAAAACAGGCTGTATCCTTTTCATTCTCCTCCTTATCATGATGAGCTCCTCAGGAGTTAGTGAAGAGGTGGTCTTCCAAAGTACCCCAGATGAGGTTACTAATAACTAGACAGAGAATCACTGTTGAATTTTTAGGGGTTCATAGACTATGAAGGTAAGTGGTAGTAATATGTAAAAAAACAAAAAACAAACAAAAAAATTCTTTCTATAAAAAGCTGCATGAAAACATGATCAAACCCATCATCACTATTACTTTCTGAATGTGTACCTAGATGGAGAACCACTGCTAACCACCATTAAATGCTGCTTTCTGAATGCCTCATGTTGCATAGCTGGTGAGTGTGGTGGGTGTACACATTTTAAATCCTCTAGCCATGAAGAAAAGGGGCCAAGTTAATTTTAGGAATATGATAAAAAGCCCACTCTGCTAATTAAAAACAATGGTGATCTTGGTGTAATATCTCTAATGAGAGATGCTAGAGACTTAGTGAAAGCAGCTGTTGGAGAGAAACCTCATGGTTGTTCAGCTGATGAGCCCCACTTCAGAGTGATGTGGGAAGCATCTGACTTGGGTGGGAGAAATCAGCAGTGATCAGAGGCCATTTACTTGAAAAAGCAGGTGGAGTTGTCCTGTTGGCCACAACATCTTTGTGGGACATACTAAACCCATGCCCACCCACGTGGGAATTGTCTGATGGTGATAGGAGCTAAACCTGCCGCCTTGAACTAACTACTCTCCAGTCCTGCCTCTCTCCTGATTTGAGGCTCTGCATGCAGGTAATATGGTTTGGACTTCAAAACCTGTGTCCAACTAAATTACAATGCTTTTTCTGCAAACCTTCGGGACTGATTCACATACAGCTTGAAATCAGTACAAGTAGGGCTCTTCTATTTGCAGCGTACTAGATTTCATTTGTTTCAGGTAAACATCTGAAAAAAATGTATACTCTGAGAGCAAGCAAAAGCATTCATTTGGGAATGCTTTCTGGCTGTTCTTTATGCTTTTTCCCCCTGTTGCTATTACCTAGTACTGCCAATCTGTGCTTTTAAAAGAAATCGGCCACTTTAAAATAGAATACCTTTGTTCCCATCCTGTGTGTGATGTCTGCTATTTTATTAGCGGGAATGGGAGAAGGAGAACAGTGAAGTTTCAGAAGTTTTTTTTTTAATTTTTTTTAAGGCATTCATTTATGGTGCAGTAAATAATACCTACCTGGGCCCCCTTCTCTTTCCTCCATGATTAGTTTGCTCCCTGGGTTTGGCTGGTCTGGAATTTGCCTGACTCTTGGCTGACTGGCATCATCCATGTCAGCTCCTCAGGAAGCTCCTCCTTGCTGTGTGAAGTACCAGGGTACCCTCTTCTAGAAGTCATTAGGTATTTGTGGTTGCTAGCAGGTGGATATGGTAGAGGGTCTGTTCAGAGAGGTACTAAGTTTTGCATCGCGTAGCATCAGACTGTGTTGCCCTTCTTAGTGTTCTGCTAAACCTGCTACTGGCCTTTACCCCTTCTGTACCCAGCATCTGCATCCTCTGTGCAATACCATCATATATCATCACTATCCTGTGGGAAGACTGCCATGATATCTCTTCCTCCTGCTCAGCATCAGCCCAGGAAATCCAGGACCTCTTTTTCTGGACTAAGTAGCAGTATGGGGTTGACCTTCAGTTGTGCTTGTAGGTATCTTGGTGGTGGGTTTTTTATATGGGGACACAAGCTTCTGCACAGTGAGATGTCTGGACAGGCTTCAAAACTTTAAGCAGAAAATCGCTGCAGGGACTGTTGCATTGTGGTCTTCCCACTGAAGGACTGATTTTTTGTCAGTGTGGGTACTTCTGTATCCAGAAGCACTCAGTCAGCAGAACTATGGAGAGAGGACTTACGGCACTGGTTTAATTTCACAAGTGTAAATTCCAGGCCTTGTCAGCTCAGCAGGACTCGGTTATGGATGAGGGGCACATGCAAGGGTACATGGTAGAAGTGAACATGTTACTGGTAAAACTTCCTAATGTAGACCAGGCCACAGTGAGATATTCCCAGAATACAAGGTAATCACATTAATGCATTGGGATGGTAATCCCGGAACACTGCTGATAGGACTGTCAAAGGCAACGTTAACAGTGATAGAAGACAGATGAATCTGGACCTGTTCTTGAGCTGATGTTAAAATGGGTAAGAAGTAAGAACTGAAGTAGGACTAAGGCCCTAAATCAGGAAACATGCATGCTTGATCTAAAGGCTCATTGACTTCAAAGGGACCTAGGCAAGTTATGTAAGGTCTTTGCTGAACCAGAGTTGCTTTCCTGAATTGGAAATGTAAATGTCCTACTAAAAAAACTTGATTTTTCTTCCCCACCCCCCAGTTTGAGTGTCTTATGTTTGCATCCTCCTTGATATTCTGGCTGGACTCCCCATTTCCCCCAACCCAAGGGAGAAGGTGGTATCTATTCTCAATGTCTATGTGAATCCTGTGCGGGTGACCTAATGGGCCGGAAGCCTCCATGGTTAACTTATCCATACACAACAGGACAATATTCCTCTGGCTTTCTGGATCCTTGGAGCCTCTTTGTGTAGCAGATCAATCTGAGATGCTTTTGTTCTTTAGCCCCACAAGAATGACCTGGCTCTCCAAGTCACCCTGTTATTCCCTGATGTGACCGATTACCCAAATCATTCAGTTCATGTCTCTAAAAGGGGGAATTTTCCTTTGCAAACCCAGCTGTAGAGGTTTGTGTCAGCATGCTGTTTGTACTCATCTGAATCATATGGTGGATTAGTTACCAGACTGCATTTGACAGTGTTCTGCACTGCTAGTTTTTGGAACTGCTCAGGCATTACAGTGAGCTTAGCAGTGTAGAAAACTACCAAAAATTCCAAATATCACAAAAGGATGGAGTTTTCAGTCTGTTTATTATCCCTGGGATGTGGTAGTTCTCTGGAGCAGGGTCTAAATTACCACTGGAATTGAGCAGGAGATAGTAGCATGAAAGGATTTATTTAGAAGCCAACATCAGTAGATGTGTGCTGTAGGAAGGGCAACTCTTTTATCTATTTATTTATTTTTTAAATCTAGCAATAGTAAATATCCCATCTGGACATCATGTCCATATGTTTAGTTGAGATGTTACCAACATGGTCACGTAGTGGCAGCCACCATAATTAGAGAAGTGTTGTATGAATTGGCCAGTGAAAGTGAATGGGTAACACGGGACACTCCTTACATGAAACCCCCACTGCATCTGTCCAGAACAGAAGGGCTTAACTCCGTGTTATAAAGTAAAATCTACATTGCTGGCAAGTACGACTAAAAAACTGGCTGGTCTGTGACACGGGAATGATTAATGATATAGCTGTCCTCAGATGATGAGGAAGAGTTGTGCCAGAGCCCTCCAACAGAAATGATGCTCTCTCCAAGTAATCAAGCAGCATATACAATATGTGTGGTAGGGGATCCAGGCTACTGAATAATTAGCACACAGAGCGAGGGACCATTCAATCCAAAAGAGGCTGGAGTA